GGGTGGGGGGGGGGGTAAGTCTAAAATACTTTCTTCAATCGAAGGTCAGACTCCCATCCCTGTCCCACTAAACATGTTCACCCTTTCAGCCGTAGGGGCGTTATTATGTGACGACCAATCCCACTATTTGTTGGTAAAAGAGTAGCCCAAGAGTTGGCGGTGGGTGGTGATGACTAGCTGCCTTCCCTCTAGTCTTTCACTGCTAAATTAGGGACGGCAAGCGCAGATAGTCCTCGTGTAGTTGGGCGCGAAAATCTAAACAAAACAAAACAAGACAGACTCCCACAGTGTTTCATGGTCGCCAAACGGTTGTTTGTTTTCTTAGTGCAAAATTACACAGTTGGCTATATGCGTTCTATCTACAGCGGGAAATCAAACCCCGGATTTTAACGTTGTAACTCCATAAACTCACCGCTGATCCATCGGAGTGGGGGGGGGGGGGTAGAGTTACAATGGTAAACTGAAGTCTAAGTCATATAATTTTATGTGTCGATTTCATCATCTAGTACTATCAGGTAATTTTTTGGAAAATGTTCTATTTCAAGAGTAAATAAAGCCAAAATTAAGAGAAACAAATATTAATATTTTTTGAAGTTCATATGTCATGCTGTGTTGTATCCTACAGATTGCATAGTTCTCGTGATTCATGGAATGCGCACGTTTTACTGACGTCACGACAGTACAAATTGCAACGCCATTTTAGTGTCTACTAACTGACTGACAGACAACACGCCACTGTATAGTGGTGGGAGTGATTAAAACAGGAGACCTTCCAGACGGCCTTCTGTTCCCTTCCGGGGAAATAAGGCAGTAATCATAAACAGTAGAAACCACATCACAATAGGACTGGCAGCTGTATACGTGCTTTAAATTGGAGTCAAACATTTTTTAGGGTACTTTTTAGAGTACCTAATACAAATATATATATATACCATAAGTGAACTTTTGTGTTCTGTGAGTATTCGATAAAACTTCGCTAAATAGACGGCCACGTACGAATGATGGAAAGTTTGTACAGCATAGTGGGGTCGAACTGATCTTACAGTTCTAAGCCGTAATATATTTTCATGAAATGTCTATTGTCAGGGCTTCTAGTAGAATCAGTGCTGTTTGGTTAGATATTAAAAGATAAGATGTTTTACTTGAAAAGAAAGATCGGAACTTTTAGGAAAACTACCTGTTCTTATGATGGTAAGCCTAAATAGATGTTGTTGTTTTTTTTTTGGTAAAAAAGATAAATCCGAAAAGCTATAAATGAACCAACAGCTTGTGTACACAGTTGTGAATTTGCAACATTGTCCCCTCAAGTTCTTCTCAGAATCGACTGATGGAACCGAGAGCATGGTTAGGCCGATTAAGCTAATCTCTGAGCTACTGGGAAGGGGCATTAATTAGTACAAATATTAAGACAAAATTTGCAAAACAGGTATTTTATTGGAAAACCAATCAGCCATGGTGCATTTTTTAATAGGAAATGTAATGCTTTTTCTTATAAAAAATGCAGTGTGTAATATTATTTAAAATAACTTAAAGGGTTATAACGATAAATTTGAGATGCAAGGTAGTAATAACCCTTTATACAGGTTTGGGTTTTACAACAAACGAACAAAAATTAAATAAGTTTTGATTTAAATAATTATTTGTTTATGATTTTCGTTCAAAGCTACAAAAAAGCTACTTGTGCTTAGCTGTTTCTAATATTGAACTGAAAAACTAGAGAGGAGGCAACTAGTCAACAGCACCCATCTTCAACTCTATGACAACTCTTGTCTAATCGAATAGTGGAATTTAATCGATACTTTTAAAGTGTACTGTCAGCCTCAAAATGTTTAAAAACAAGATGCAAACCATAAAGCTCCAGATTCACAGTCCAGCCCTACAATTTAAACATTATAACGACTGGAACTTGTGAGGTGGCCACCTCTATCGGCGAATAGTTTTAGAGTTCTATGAAACTGAAAAAAAAAAGTTTTAAGTTTCCACTGTACATCCTTTGTTACTTAGCTATTCTAAACATTCTTTGAATTAAAATATCCAACAGAAATGTACTTTTTATTACATGAAATGTTCTTCAATAAACTTTTCTTGTTATTATTGGAAACAAATAATCACATTTTGCTTTTATTATTTGTGGGTAATCCAAAAGAAAATGTTATTTTATTTGGTTCATCTTACACTGTTGATTTGACGAAAAAAGTGACATAGCATGAGGTGATGAGCTGACCTAAATGAATCTCTGAGATTTGCAAACAGATTCTATTATACAATCTTTGATTGGTTAATCAAATGAAAACGTATTTTCTTGTTTAACGACACTTGGTCTTTATCAGTTATTGGAAAACTTTACCGAAGTAAATATTATAATAATGACGACATTACTTTACACCTGATTGGCTAAATTCACAAGTCAACAAGCTTGAGTTAAAATTATAATGTGATACTGTTTGTTGCTACGTAATGGGCTATCTGCGTTGTGTTCACCGCAGGGATTAAACATAACATTTTAGCGTTATAAAACCTCAAGTATACGAGTGGACCAGTGGTGGATACGTAGTAATGCTTACTTATTTCCTTATCCTTTTTTTTTCTGACTGGATGTCGTATCCTCTTACAAAAACAATAACGTTAGGTCTAACATATAAACGATATTAATTGTCTTTTTGTCGCCTAGTGGGTCAGCGGTACGTTTAGGGACTTACAGCTATAAAATCAGGAGTTCGTTCCCTCACGGTGGACAAAGCACGGATAGCTTATTGTGTAACTTTGCGCTAAAATACAAACAAAATTGCATCTTTGGACAAGCATCATAAAAACGTTCATTATGTCTAATTTAAACTTCGATAAATTCATTCACTCGTAAACTTTCTAGCTAATGAAAGAGATTCCATTCATTCTTTTTCTGCATATTTGTAGAAGTTTCTCTACGGTACATTACTCAGTTCTTGAATTTCTCCAACGTCAATTAAGCTGCATATCTGAGACAATTCCACACATGAGTTGTGTTTTTTTTTTATCATCATTTTGAGCTTCGTATTGAAGTTGGAAGGGTAGTCTAACATATCAGCCTGATGAATCCTGGTATAAAGGTCTCGTCAGCAGTGGATATAGCAGATATTGTGTGGTTGACATACAATTATACATTTTTCTTTACTTTCATTCACAAGATTTCAGAATTCAAACATTTATTTTATTACGGTGTTAAAGTCTTTCTGTTTTACAATTTGTGAGCGAGCTATTTTGTTCATGCTGTATATGTTTATCCTCTTTTACTTTCCTCTGGAACATACAATTTTTACAAATGTTTTGTTTTGGTGTG